GATGTGCATGTGCGTTATAGTCGAAGGACATGAGCACTCCACATGCATGTGCTTCTGTTCTGTGTCTCAAGTTGCTTCGTGCCCCTTTGCCACACTGCCTTGCCTTTTTTCCTTGATCACCTCGCATTCCATAACACACACACACACACACGCACGCACATCACAACACACACACATGCACACGACAGGCCGCGCACGACCACTATGTTGCGGACCACCGCACGGATGGGAAGCATCCCGTGGTGGTGGCGATGATTGTGCAGCCCAACGAGTTCAATGCCTTCGACCAGCGCCACCTTGAGTTCGCTTTGCTGGAGAGGCACCAGCTGCGCATGGTGCGCGTGTCATTCGCTGATGTGCACAAGTACGGGCGTCGCGATGAGCACACGGGCCGCCTCTACATCCACTTTCCTCAGCAGACCAGCAGTGATGGTGATCGTGGTGCTAGTGATGGTGACAGTGCAGCCAAGAAGGCCAAGACCGAAGGGCAGGTGCAGCAGCAGCAACAGCAAAGCAATCGAGCAACGGAGCGCGCGCAAGGCGAGGAGGAAGTGGTGGAGGTGAGCGTGGTGTACTTTCGTGCAGGCTACACCCCGAACGACTACCCGAGCCAGGCAGAGTGGGATGCGCGCACGCAGCTTGAGCTCTCTGCAGCCATCAAGTGCCCAAACATCGCGCTGCACCTTGCCGGTACGAAGAAGGTGCAGCAGGTGCTGGCGAAACCCGGCACGCTTGAGCGGTTCATCAGCGGAGAGGACGCCACCACGCTGAGGAAGACGTTTGCTGCTCTTTACTCGCTCGACCCAGACGACTACAGCACCAGCGAGGGACAGCAGCAGGGCAATGACAGCACACGGGAAACACAGCATCAGCAGAAGGAGATGGCAAGTGTCGACGCGTTGCTGGCGGAGATCCAAGAGCACCCGGAGCTGTATGTGCTGAAGCCGCAGCGGGAAGGGGGCGGCGGCAACCACTACGGGCGCGAGGCAGCGAATATGCTTGCAGGCATGGCGCCCTCGGAGAGGTTGGCGTACATTGTGCAGAGCCGCATCCTGCCGCCCACGCAGCCGGCGCTGGTGATGCGCGATGAGCCCGTGGGCGCGCCGCAGCAGTCCACAACGGAGCTGGGCCTCTTTGGCGTGAGCGTGCGGCGGCGTGGCAAGCGGGAAGCCGGGCGTGCTGATTCTGATGCTGCTGATGAAGATCATGTGGAAGACAACGCAGGCGTGCTGCTGCGCACCAAGCAGGCGGAGAGCGATGAGGTGGGCTTTGCGGCGGGCTTTGGTGTCCTCGATTCGCCATGGCTCACAGACTAGGCCAGGCGCCAGGGGCCAGCGTGTGAATGTGTGGTTGATGATTGGCTGTGATGTGTAACAAATCAAGGCTCTGGTCTGCACTACGTTGCTGTCTGCCCGCTTGCGCTGCTGCTGCTGCTGGTGCCGTTTTTGCTGTTAGCGGTGGTGGTGGTGGGCGGCGCGGAAGTTGGAGTCGTTGGGGTTGGAGCAAGCGGCGACGCTGTTGCTGCTTCTGCATCAATGGGCACGGCCTGCCCTGCCTGCCAACACGTTGGAAGCATTCTCACGTGCCCTTGCCGATGTTGTTGTTGTTGTTGTTGTTGTTGTTGTTGTTGTTGTTGTTGTTGTTGTTGTTGTTGTTGAGGATGACGAGTGAACACAAGGCCAAAGCCATGCCTGCAAAGACGCGAGTGGTGAAAGACAGGGTTGGTTGAGTGCACGTGAGCAGCATGATACGGTGAGATGGGAAAATACACGACCACGTACAAATCAGGCGTTGGGTGGACCCCGCAAACTGTTCACCCTCGACAGTCTCCAAGCACGAAGGGCCTGTGTGTGTGTGTGTGTGTGTGTGTGTGTGTGTGTGTGTGTGTGTGTGTGTTTGATGGAGAGATCATCAGGTGTTGTCGACAGCAATAACAGCAACAGCAATTGCACACATGCGCAGCAAACACAACCACACGCACAAACACACAAACACACACACACACACACACACGCACAAGCACGCACACGCGCACACCGTGAAAGACGTCTGCACGGAAGGTGCCCTGGCGCACGACAGCGCCGTCTGCACTGGTCCAGATGCCGTAGCCGTGTCGCATGCCGTCGTGGAAGGCGCCGGAGTAAGACGAGCCGTCCATGTACACGCGGTAGCCCCGGCCCGTCATGCTGCCGTGCTCAAACTCCCCACGGTACAACAGCTGCCCTCCATGCAACAGCGTCCCCACGCCATGCGGCTTGCGCTCCGCATCGCGCTGTCCTTGGTAGGCGAAGCGGTTGTCAAACGGCATATCGACAGCGACACCATGAAGCGTAGCAGATAGAAATAAAACCGTGCGGCCCCCACGCTCCTTTGTCAAGAGCAAACTTGCTTTTGCTGCTCGCCAACACATCAAGTCAATTTTGACCTTGATCCAACGTCTCCCACCCTCCCCACTGACTGACGACAACGACGAACTGCAACCACACCACCTCATCGCTCTGGTGCTGTTGTCTCCATCGTCCAACACCGCGCTGCCAAGGTATGTGCTGTGCTGCGTTGGCTTATCTTGTGGACGCGGTTTGTTTGTTTGTTTGTTTGTTTGTGATTGGTTTACCTTTGGGATTGTGTTGGGTGGTTGTTGGCATCTCTGTCTGTTGTATGCTTCTTGTGTGCTTTGTCTCATGCACTTCTTGTTTGTGTCTGGAGCACCAACGCGCACCACCCATTCTCGCTCCTCTTTTTTTGTTGTTTCTGGTGTCGTCGTCGTTGTTGTTTAAATTGTTGTTGTTTAAGTTGTTGTTGCTGTTGTTTAGGTTGTTGTTGTTGTTGTTACGTTGTTGTTTAAGTTATTGTTGTTGTTTAAGTTGTTGTTGTTGTTGTTGTTGTTTAAGTAGTTGTTGTTGTTTGTTGTGAGTGCATTACATGCACGTTGTGTCCCTTGGTTCAACCACACTCACGCGCACGCTCACACTCACACGCACTGCACTCACATTCACGTACTTTTCCGCCCTTTGACATTTGTGTTCTTGTTTTTTTTGCCTGGGAGAAGATGTCCATGACCTTGTTTCGCCTGGCGGGCGACTTGTCGCACGTCCTGGCCATCCTCCTTCTTCTCTACAAGATCTGGACCACAAAGTCTGCTGCTGGTGAGCAAAGACAAGCTGTGTGTATGCGTGTGTGTGCATGCTCGCACAGGTTGACGTGTGATAACAGCTTGCGTGTTCAGTTCGGTTTTGTATGCATTACTTGTTTGCTTTCGTGCTGTTCCGCCACACACACACACACATACAAACTCATACGCACACACGCACACACGCACACACACACATACAAACTCATACGCACGCGCACGCACACGCACACGCACACGCACACTCTCTCACACATTCTCACACAACACACACGCACACGCTCCGCCCACGTTTGCTGTTCCTCTGCAGGCATCAGCGGGAAGACGCAGCTGATGTTCTGCATGGTGTATGTGACACGGTACCTGGATTTGTTTACGTCATTCATCTCCGTCTACAACAGCACCATGAAGGTGCTCTTCATCTCTGCCTCTGTGGCCACCGTCTACCTCATCTACTTCAAGTTCAAGGCCACGTACGATGGCAATCACGACACCTTCCGCATGGAGTTTGTCATTGTTCCCGCCCTCATCCTCGCCCTCATCTGGAACTACGCCTTTACTTTCTTCGAGGTGGGACCAATGTGGGCGCCTAATGCGGCCGCACCACACAGCACTTTTGTTTCATGGGCTATGTGTGTGTGTGTCTGTGTGCGTGTGTGTCTGTGTATGTGTCGGTGTATGTGTCTGTGTGTGTCTGTGTGCGTGTGTGTCTGTGTCTATGTGTGCCCCCCCTCTCTCTCTCACTCTGCGTGTCTGTGTATGTGTGTCTGTGTGTACATGTGCAAAGTCGGGGACCGCATGTGCTCTTGCTGCTTGTGCTTGCAAACACCTGTTGATGTTCCGGTGCCCCTCCCCCCTCCCCTGCACGAGACAGCTCACCCACAACCACGCACATGACTGTGTGTGCGCACCGCCTGCGTAGATCTCGTGGGCGTTTTCCATCTTCCTGGAGGCGGTTGCGATTCTGCCGCAGCTGTTCATGGTCACCAAGACGGGCGAGGCCGAGAACATCACCAGCCACTACCTCTTTGCGCTTGGGTCGTACCGTGCGCTGTACATCCTCAACTGGATTGACCGGTACTACTTTGAGGGCCACTGGGACCCCATTGCCGTCACCGCCGGCATTGTGCAGACGGTCCTCTATGGCGACTTTTTCTACCTCTACTTCACACGAGGTTCGCTCGCCACGATTGCTTGCTCGCCCTGACGGTGCTGGTTGGGGCCAGTGTGTGTGTGTGTGTGTGTGTGTGTGTGTGTGTGTGTGTGTGTGTGTGTGTGTGTGTGTGTGTGTGTGCGCGCGCGCGTCGCCATTGTTTGCTAGCCCAGAATGTCGCACCCTCACTCACTCACTCACTTACTCACAACAACAACAACAACAACAACACCGCCACCATGACACTGCAGTGATCAAGGGCCGGAAGCTTCAGGTTCTGCCGTGAGCAGTTGCGTGACAGCACACCAGCCCAACCCCACCCCAAACCCGTTCTCCATTCGCTCTTTCCCTTTTGTGTTGTTATCGTTGGTGCCCTGAGGTTTGTGCACGTGTGCATATGTGTGTGTGTGTGTGCGCGCGCGTGCGTGTGTGCGTGTGTGTGTGCAGGCGTTTGACGTGTAGTCGATTGTGTTGTGCGTGCGGAGTCTCTGATTGTGTTCTTTGTGGCTGCGCTTCACGGCTGTGTCGCATACATCCGCGCTCGTGTCGTGTTGTGTTTGCTTGTTTGACTGCTTGTTTTGTTTCGTGTTGCATCATCATTTCATGTATGCATGGGATCATAAACACAGCCAGTGCCAGCATCCCCCAACACAGGCGAAAAGCAGGAGCAATTACACTACATAAGCACCGCGCGCGTGCAAAGGTACGAGGAAGAGAACTCGGGTGCAAGAAGACAAAGAACAGCTAAGCAACACAACAATTAGCCACTGCACGCGCGCGCGCGCGCACACACACACACACACACACACACACACACACACACACACACACAGACATCAGTCGTCGGTGCTGGTGCTGGCGCAGTCAAAACAGAAGAGAAGAGTGCACGTGGAGGGGTCGTGGCGCTGCTTCGCTGTTCGTGCGCTGTTGTGTTGCTGTTGCACACTATCCCCCACGCTCTCGTCATCCATCACGCAATCATCATCGCCATCATCGCCATCTTCACCATCTTCACCGTGGGCTGGTGACGTGAGCTTGGCACGCTTGCAGCCCTCAATCTCACCGGCACTCCGTCCATCAACACCGGTGTCATCATCATTGTCATCACGATGATCATCAACAGCAGCAGCATCATCATCATCATCATCATCAGCAGCAGCAGCACACCTTCCCATTCCCTCTGAGAACAGGGAGCGTGCGACCTTCCTGTGTATATTCCGGTCACTGCCGTCGCCACCGCCACTGCGCTGCAGCCTGCTGCGTCTTGGGCGTCGGCCTCTTGGCTGACGCTTTGTTGGTGTTGCTGAAACGCTGTCAAACCCCTCTGCCCCAACACCAACGCCACCACCACCATTGCTGTCAGCAGTGCTTTCGTCACCGTCATCAATTGGGCGTGGGGTCACACGTCGCTTGGCGTTGTTCGCTCGACGAGTCTTGCTGTTCCTGCTGCTCTTAGTGCTCCTGCTGGTCTTGCTGCTGCGACTGCGATGGTGAGGGCGGGTGCTCGTTGGAGCAGCGGTGGTGGCGGCGGGTGCAGTGATGAGGTCGTCTGTCTGCACTTCATCTTCATGCTGGTCATCAGCAGCGATGTCGATGTTGCCATCCGCCCCGTTCCTGTCATCACCATCAACATCGCTGTTGATATCCTCCTCCTGCTCATCTTCCTCGTCGTCACTGCCACGGCGCTTCTTGCCTTCCCTGTGTGTCATTCGCGCACGCAGGATCCTGTTCACCTGCGCCACACCCGCTGCTGATGCTGCCATGGCTGCGCCGTGCTCGTCGCGTCCAAGCACCGCCAGCGCCAGTGCGCCCGTTCCACCGTATGCCGGTGACAGCGACTGGTGCAGCTCGCGTGTCGCGTCCTCGTCCTCCCCACTCACGTATCCGCTGGTGACGTGCTCGTCATCGCCGCGTCCATGCTGCCGGCCGCGAGACACGCAGCGCCGCCCAGCTGCACTTGCATCGCATGCGCGCATGTGCAACAAAGCCGGCGCTCCTTCACTGTCCTCTGCCCCGCTCACATCGCCATCATCGTTGGTGTTGCCATCGCCGGCTTCATAACCACCGATGGGCTTATCGTTCTTGTCTGCGCCACTCTCCTCGCCGCTCTCCTCGCCGCTCTCCTCGCCGCTCTCGTAGGCATAGGCGCGGTGTTGCCGGCTGGCACGCGCATGCGCACGTGTGGGCGGGCTGCCTCGCGAATGGGGCTTGTGTGTGTTGGCAGGTGCAGGCTCGCCCTCATCGCCGCTCGCGCTGTCGCTGCTATCGTCGCTGTCAAACGCTGTGTCAAAGCAAAACGGCATGTCTCGCTTTGTCTTCTGCTCGGTCGATGATGGCGGCGATGACGTGGGGCCAGAGTTGCGCGGCTTGGTGAACTTGCGTCGCGGCTTCACGCGCGTCGTTGTGCACCGGCGTGAGGAATTGGGGTTCCCTAAGCTCTCGATCAGGCCATAGTTCTCGACGATGGTGTTGGTCTCCAGATCAATCACATCCGTGTTCTCAAAAGCGTGCGAGTACTGCACACAGCAAGCAGACAGCACAACACAAGCACAATACATTGAGTGGACATGGTCGGGTGGAACAGATACACATGCACAGCCATCCATCGCTGACAAGACACAATGGGAACTCAGCGCCACCACCGCCGTCGTCACTACCACGAGCACAGAGACACAGAGAGACACAGACAGACAGAGAGAGAGAGAGAGACAGACAGACAGACAGAGACACACACACAAACGCACACGCACACACACACACACATACAAACGCACACGCACACACACGCACACACACACGCACACACGCACACACGCACACACCTTGGCGATGATGTTTTCCAAGGCGCTCTTGAAGTTGCTGATGCTTTCCAACCGTTCTTGCTCCATTGTAACTGAGTACGACCGCCAATGCCAGCCCAATCGTGGTTCGTTGTTCCGCAAATGCACCACAGACACAGCACAAGTGCTCAACTCGCTCCGCCTCACTCGCGTGTCAAGGAGAGATGCACAGCCAGGTGAAGCACGTTGGTTGGTTTGGTTTGGTGTTTGGTTTGGAAATGCTGCGGCGCCAAACAAATGCTTCTTCACTGTTTGTTGTGGAAACGGAATGTTTACGGGTAACACGGCAAATAATCGCGCCTTGACGAACTACAAAGGAGAGAGGAGAGCGTGCGAAGGAGAGATGAAACGGAACAGGGCTGCGGTGTTACTCGCCCTGCGGCTTCTCAACGGTCGTGTCATAGCGCCGAATGATCTCCATCTGAGTGATGGAGTCTGTGTTCTCATTCTGGCTGAAGGCATAGCCCGTGTAGTCCTGGGCCGTGCCACGTCCATGCATCTCAGCCCACAGTTGCTGCAAGCGCAAGCGCGCGCGCGTGTGTTTGTTTGTTTGTGTGTGAGTTTGTGAGTTTGTGTGTGTGAGTTTGTGTGAGTGTGTGTGTGTGTGTGTGAGTTTGTGTGTTGAGTTTGAGTGTTTGAGTGTGTGTGTGTGTGTGTGTGTGTGTATACGTGCATCATGCATGCAAGGGAAAGGAACTCGAATCCCACATGATCAACACATACAAGGGCTGTCACACGCGCGCGCGCCAACACACACTTAAAAACACACTTACACACCGCACACACACACCTACCTCTGGCATCTTGGCGATGACTTGGTGGCGGCGTTCGAGGCGCTGTAGCCGCACTTCCTCCGTGGGGAAGAGGAGATGACGCACAAGCACAAACACGACGTCGCGCAGCAGCGCAAGCGCAGGAATCACCAGGAAACTGAACCACACACGCGCGCTCCTGTACATGTAGCGACCAATGCCAAACACCTACAAATCGAATGGGGCGAAAGGAAGAGGGTGATGCGATCAGCGTTGAAAGGAAGCAGCACAGCAGTGATGCCGACGAAGCAGCACAGCGCGGGGTGCCGACAGAACACACAGATGTATACACACACACACACACACACACACACACACACACACACACACACACGCACACACATTCACACACGTACACACCTCGTGGGCAATGGACACGCCAGGCGCTGCCCACAGCTCAAAGTACGCAAAGGTGAAGACGAGCCAAATCTGTCAGGATGTTGATGGATTGGTGAGAAGAAGAAGCAGTGGCGGAGAGAAGTCGATGTAGCAAAGCGCCGTGTCGGGAGTGTCGACGACAAAACTGTGTGATGCGATGATAACTGGTCACTCAACACAACTAGCATGCACACAGCACGCGAAACACAGAGAGCTCTGGCCATACAGACACACACACACGTACACACAGATACAGGCACAGACACACACACACAGACAGGCACACACACACACAAACACACAGACACAGACACACACACGTGTGCACGTACGAGAGCAGAGCCCCACACGGCAATGTGGTTGTAGATAGTCCAGGACTCCGTAACCAACGCGGCCTGGTGCGCAGGTGGATGGCGGTGTAAAGACGGGCGGAGGGGAAGGAGGATGAGCACGTGGGGCCACGATGTAACAACATGGCAGAGAAGGACGAAGAGGAGAAGCCAAAGGAGTGAAGGTTGGTGATATGGTGATGTGAACACATGCGTGCAAATGGATGTATGCTCATGAATGCATACGTATTCATGCATCTCATGTCACATCATGTGTACAGCAAGGGAATGTGTTCAGAGAAGATTCAGTCCCACCTTGAGGGTGACGGTGTAAACGACAATGGAGTAGACAACGTGGCCCAGCACCCACTGCCCGCCAACCTGCCCATCGGCCGTAATCGTATCCCCGCGGAACACTGTGTGTGTGTGTGTGTGTGTGTGTGTGTGTGTGTGTGTGTGTGTGTGTGTGTGTGTGTGTGTGTGTGTGTGTGTGTGGAGAACATGAGCGATGAAGGAGAACCAATGTAGGTAGGTACAGATACAAGCCAGTGCGTACAACACACGCACACACGCACACACGCACGCAAGCGCATAGACACACAGCAAGTGGTTGCGCGCAACGCACTTTCGAGTGGGAGCCAGAAGAGGATGACAGAGTGGAAGATGCTGTTGAGGGTCCATCCCCAGAACACGCGCGTGTTGAAGTGCTCTCTTCGCGGTCCAGATTTGTACAAGTGTGGCATCTGGCGCATTGCGGACGTGTGTGTGTGTGTGTGTGTGTGTGTGTGTGTGTGTGTGTGTGTGTGTGTGTGTGTGTGTGTGTGTGTGTGTGTGTGTGTGTGTGTGTGTGTGTACACGGGTGTGTGTGTGTGTGCGCGCGTGTGTACGTGTGAGTGCGTTTTACGTATGTGTGATGTGTGAATGCGTGTGCGGATGCTTTGTGCATGTGCGTGAGTGAGCATGAGTCGCCCACCTGCACAACAGCGTACAGGAAACAATTGCGTCGGGAAAAGAGAGACGCAGCAGACGGGCAAGCACAGCACAGCACAAGAGCAATTACAGCCAAGTACGGCCGCGCGTGTGCCCTCCCCGGCGCCCGCACCATCTCTTCTCAAACTCACGGCAAGCAGGGTCTCTGCACTGAGGTGCTGATCGAAGATGCCAATTGCAACCGGTGGCAACAGCGTAAACGCCACGTTGTACGTCGCAATTGTCCACCGCTCAAACAGAATCTGGCCCGAAAAGCCGTTGCTGAAGGCATACCACAGCTGGTTGTGCGGCACACGCGGTGGCAGGGCAACGCCCGTGACGTGGAATGTGAGTTGGTTTTGTGTGTGTGTGTGTGTGTGTGTGTGTGTGTGTGTGTGTGTGTGTGTGTGTGTGTGTGTGTGTGTGTGTGTGTGTGTGTGTGTGTGTGAACAGGTGAATGCGGGAAGCAAACGACGAGTCAATTGCAGTGATGTGATAATACACAAGTGCAACAGAAACGTGTTGTACCATGCACATTTACAAGAACCAAGCAACCCCACAACACCCCAGCTTGCATCGCACCTCGATGAGGTAGAGGGCGATGTTCTTGTAGAACGAGTACAGGATAAGCATGGTCACACGACGATAACTCCACGCGCCGTGCACCAGCAACAGCCGCTGTCATCACAACACCATCACATGACAGAGATAATAATTGGTGCAATGCAGCGCAGGCACGCGTGTGTGTGTTTGTGAGGGAGTAAATCATCGCTTCAGCATCTGGTTTTTCTCGCACGCACGCTTGTACGATGATGACCCGTGACAACAAGTAGCACTCTCTCTTCCACGCACTTCCGCACACGCATTATTGTTTTCCTCTCACACACACACATACACACATACACAAACACACACACACATACACACACACGCACCTGCAAGAAGCGGAACTGGCCGATGCTGTAGTCTGAGGCGCGGGCGGCCTGCAGGCCCTCTTTGCCACTGATACCGACACCAACGTGCGCTGCTTGGATCATCGCAACGTCGTTTGCACCGTCGCCAATCGCAAGCGTAATGGCTCGCTCGTTCTCCTTCACCAGTCTGGAGAGAGGAGCGGGGGCAGCGGATGTTGATGAAGGGCATGGAAGAAGGAAGGAAGTAAGCAAGGACAGGGGTCACGCACGCACACACACACATACACACACATTCACACACGCACACACACGAACGAACGCGCGTACAAAGAGGGCTGCCCACCTGACAACTTCGGCCTTCTGCAGAGGGGACACGCGACAGCACACAACGGCCTTGCACGCTTTTGCAAGCTGCAGCCAACGCAGGCGCAGGCTGCAATGCAACACGTGCACGGAAGGAAAAAAAAAAAAAAAGGTTCACGCAAATACGCACACAGTTGGTGAGTGCAGGGTGGCAACACGAGGGACTTGACCCTGCAACAAAGCGACAATCAAATAACACTCATGGACAAAGAAAGCACACACACACACACGTACATACACACGCGCCACTCAACAGCAGCGCATCAACCATTCCCATTCCCACCACCACCACCACCACCACCACCACCACCACCACCACCACCACCACCACCGTCATCGTCACCTCTGGTCGAGAGCAAACTCGAGGGTGGGTCCGTCGATGATGAGCGCGAGCGGGCGGTCGCCGTGGTCCTCAAGCGCCTCCAGTTCGCGCTCGCACCACGCCATTGTTGCAGGCAGCGTCGTCTCGTTGGCAATCAGCAGGTCCATCGTCGAGTTCAACAGCTGGTGGGCGCATGTGTGTGTGTGTGTGTGTGAAGGAGAGTTGCGAAGGGCAATATTGTGTGGTACTCGTGCATAAATGCTGATGAACATTTGCTGTGTGTTTCCAAAAGCACACAAGCTCCACCACCACCACCACTTCCATCATCGCTGCCGCCACAACTGCCCCCTCCACCACCCCATCAGCAGTATCAAAGACGTACGCGACAGGAGAAGCCAATGTTGATCGCCGTCTCCTGCTTGTCGCCCGTGCAAACCCAGATGTTGATGCCTGCGTTTGCCAGCGCCTGAATGGTCTCGGGCACCTGCTCCTGTAACCGGTCCTCAATCGCCGTCGCGCCGAGCAGAAACAGGTCCTTCTCAATCTGTGGTGTTGTTTCGGGAGCAGGTGTCGGAGATGGTGAGAGGAAGTGTGAGGGCATGGGCATGCTGCCTTCCACAAAACAGCGCCATGCGAAGCATCGCCACGCGCACACATTTTGAGCACTCGTAAACATGAGCACACAACACGTACAGGCAAAGATAAACAAACAAAAAAAGAAAAACAAACCAAACCAAAACAAGACAAACAAACAAACAACCAAACAAACAAACACACAACCAAATCAAACAAAACAGGACGAGACGAGACGCGCACCAGCTCTGCGGCGCGGTCGAGCTTTGCGGCGCGGTCGTGGATGGCGGTGCTCGCTTCCTCGTACACGCGCGCCCACTCGTTGTACTCTTCCTCTCGCAGCAGACGCACGCCGACACACAGCGTTCGCAGGCCCTCCGTGGCGAACCGCTGGAGAGGGCGAGAGAGCAGGTTGAAGGGCGGGGAAGCGGGCAGGTACACGCACGGAATGTATACGAGTATGGTGTACAGCGGAGATTGTGAGATGCGGAGGACTCATGCACGCAAACTGCTGAATCCACGCACACGTACAGACGAAGGGTTTCCTTACCCGTAACCCCACGCATGTACACATGCACACACACACACACACGCACACACACACACATGCACACACACACACAACAGACACGCACACGCACGTGTAAGTGTTCCTTTGTGGCATCTGCAAAGGGCTGGTTCTGACTGAGGCGCTCGAAAATGACGGAATCGGCACCCTTGGTCAGCAGCTTGATGGCCCCGCTCTCATCACGGACAATCACAGACATGCGCTGGATTGGATGCGCAAGGCGCCATGGAGGAGGAAGGGTTGTGAAGATGAGAAATGCGATAGTGAAGATGAGAACACACGCAAGCAAAAAGCTCACACACACACACACACACGCTCACACACACACAAATCTGCGTGCACTTGCCACGCAAACACACATGCACCAAGTACACACGCCACATACACACACGCGCGTATACATAACATGTACTCAAGCAACAGACGCCCAAGCAACAGTGCGCCACACCAACAGTGCCCACGCGACCAACCTTGCGAGTGGAGTTGAATTCAAGAACGTTGAGGATGAAGAATGTCTCATCGGAGCCGAGAGCATTGATGACCACGCGATCTGGCTGACGCACGTTGAAGGAAAACCCCAGGCGCTTCACTGCAGACACCAGCGCAGCCTCGTCCGGCGACGCAGCCTGGGGGGTGGTGGTGGTGGTGGTGTTGGGCGTGAAAGTGGCGGTGGTAATGGTGGTGAAAGTGGGTTGTAAGATGCTTGGGTCGAGTTTGAAGCGGCGAAAGGATCAAAGGTCAACACACACACACACACACACACACACACACACACACACACACACACACACACACACACACACACACACACACACACACACACACACAGACACACGCACACACACACACACACACACACACACGCATCACAACAACAACAACCCCCCGGCCCTCATCCCGCCTCTGCCGGACCTGGTACACAATGACATCTGGATCCGTCCTGTCGCGTTCAGGGATGACAGTGTGGCAGACCGCGAGCAGCGTGAGCCATTCGCGAATCACCGACGCCGTGTCGTGACCAGACGTCAAGTTGTCCAGCAGCGCCGGGTCGGAAAACACGCCCGGGTCCTGCTGCACGTCCCCATATGCAACGCCGGCAATGCTGCACTTGAGAAACACCATCTCGTTGCACGTGAGCGTGCCGGTCTTGTCGGAAAAGATGTATTGCACCTGGCCCAGCTCCTCGTTCAGCGCGGACGTGCGCGCGCGTGCGGGTGTGTCTGTCGCTTCGTCGTACATCTCAACGTCGTTGTTGATGAACACAAGCGCCTGAAATGTGACACGGCAACCAACGGTTCAGGTGGGGGAGTTAATCCATTGGTTTGTTTTCTTGTTGGTTGGTTGGTTTGTTTCCTTGTTGGTTGGTTGGTTGGTTGGTTGGTTGGTTGGTTGGTTGGTTGGTTGGTTGGTTGGTTGGTTGGTTGGTTGGTTGGTTGGTTGGTTGGTTGTGTGGTGATGTGCGCGTGCTTGCGTGCGTAAGTGTGTTTACAGACATGCGTGTGCGTGTGTGCATGCGCGTGCATACAAGAGATTGAAAGCAGCGCTTGCCCTCGCTTCACCTCAGCAGTTGTCGCTACTCACCTGAAAGTACTTGACAATATCGAGGGTGATGATGAGGGAGATGGGAATGAGGTTGTTGAAGAGAATCATAAACGTGAACAGTGTCAGCCCCGGGCTCAGTGGAGGTTTGGACTTGAATCTGCGATGCACGTGACCGTGTTGACAGTGGTGGTGTTGAAAGGGGTGAGGTGAGGAGGCGTGTTGGCCAATGAATGGGATGAGGTGGTGAAGGACCTCCCATACGCAGGGACACATACAACGTGTGTGTGTGTGAGTGTGAGTGTGTGAGTGTGTGAGTGTGTGAGTGTGTGTGAGTGTGTGCGTGTGTGTGTGTGTGTGCGTGTGTGTGTGTGTGTGCGTGTGTGTGTGTGTGCGTGGTTGATTGACTCACCCCAAGTACCAGTCGCTCCTGTGCTCGCCGGTCCACACAGCGTATGCAATCGTGCACATCACAGCGAGCGACACCTGGCGATGGCCAGCCGAGTTACAAGAGAGCACACACACATGACGTTGCAGGGGCAAGCGATGTGAGCAATGGGCGTGATCACGATTGGTGGTTCTTGCATGGAGCATCTAAATTATACAGCCTTGCTTGCGCACGCGCACCGTGATACAACAACGATCAGCACACGCACGGTGCAACGCAGCACAACAAACACAATCTCACCAGTGTGAAGAAGAGGTAAATGATCTGACGGTTGTACACATCATCCACGTTGCTCCGCTTGATCTGCACCACATGGAGACAAGCACACACACATGCATGAGTCATGTCATGTCATGTCGCACGTGAGGGGCATGGGCACGAACACGGCGCAGCAAGTTACACCAGATGGCCATTTGCTCTCAGCGTGCAGTTCAGCAGCAGCACCACCACCACCGCCACCGCCACCGTTGTAGCGGCACGCACCGGGGCAGCCTTGTTGTTCTTGAGCAGTTTCGACTCGTGGCCCGTGAACACAACAACACCGTACACCCACGGCGTGTTCTTCAACTGCGCGCCGCGCTGCAGGAACTGGTGGGCGGTGGCACCAGCAGCAGCAGCAACAACGGCACATATGGGGGGGGGGGCACGGAGAGGGGTGGCGGGGTGAGAATGGATGCATTGGCATGAGGTAACGGTGATGTTTAGGCGGCGGCGACGGGTGTGGAGAAAACAGAATGCGCATGTTCCTCAAACAAGCCAACACAGTACAGTTTCAGACACACACACACACGCAAAACACACAGACACACACACAGACACACACACACGCAAAACACACAGACACACACACACAGAGACACACACAGACACACGCACACACACACACACAAAACACCGCGAAATGGGCAGAGTGCAGGGAATGGGCCAACCTGGTCGGCGCCGAGAGGAACGACGTTCTCGCTGCCGTCTGGCCGCGTGATGATGATGTTGCCGACGAACTTGTACAGCCGTTCGTTCGGCGTCTCGCACTCAACACGCGCCTGCACCACGCACAAAGGGAAGGGGAAGGAGGGTGTGTTTGTTCATGATTGTATTGTGTAAGAGAGTGAGTGTGCGAGTGAGAGAGAAAGTGTGTGTATGCTCAGTGTGCGGTCGGTTATGACATTGACTCGTTGACGATAACAACAACCGTGCTATATCTCATACACACGCACATGCACATGCACACGCACACGCACACGCACACGCAAGTGTACATGCCCACGGACCTGCAGCGTCCTGATGCGTTCGCGAGTGAGGAGGTGCGCTGTCTGCGGGTGGCCCTGTCTGATCTTGAGGTTCGTCTCACCGTCCAAGTTTGCCGTCTCCACATAGCACATCGCCTGCAGCAGCAGCAGCACGTGTTGGCGGGAGGGGGTGAGGAGGGCGTGGCGTGGTCGTCAGCCACGGCTGATGTGGCAGACATGCAGACAACCGCACGGGAAGATGCACACAGACGTGCACACACACACTTAACGAACACACACACACACACACTTAACACACACACACACACACACACACACACACACACACACACACACACACACACACACACACACACACACACACACACACACACACTTAAGGCACATGGCACACAGTACCTCTGGCTCAGAGGAGGAGAGGAGGACGAGGTCGGCGGGGAAATATTGGTTGTTGAGCACCTTGACAACATCGCCAACGCGCACCTTTGCATGATGTGCGTACATGTGTTGTGTGTGTGTGTTTGTGTGTGTGTGTGTGTGGTGTGAAGGCATCAAAAAGCAGCACAACAGATGGCCGAAAGACCGCCCAGTAAAGTACACACAGATACACACAAGCACATACACACAAACACACAGACAGACACAGACAGACACACACACACACATGCACGTGTACCTCAGTCCATCTGGCGGTGCGGAAGGTGAGGTCGCGAAACACTTTCACTTTCCGGCGGTTCACTTCGTTGTCGGCCTTGTGGCGTTTCTGGTCGTGTCGCCACGAGCGCGCGTGGCAGCGGGATGGAGGGTGGGTGAGTCGGGTGAAGTCACAAACGTGCGTGCATGTCTGGTGCTACTGCGTGGGTGACATGTAACTGCAATCACCAACAAAACAAAAAGCAACGAGGGAGGCACGTGTAAACAAGCACACACACGCACGCACACACATACACACACACGGACACAGACGCACAAACGCACACAGACGCACACAGACGCACAAAAGCGCGCGCACACACACAGACGCACAAACGCACACATACTCATGCACATACACATACACACACGCAACTCGCACAAAGTCTTCGGCGAGTTCCTTGACGGCGGTCATGATGAGAACAATGGACAGCGGCAGCGCTGTTGTCCATTGGCCCGTCGGCGACACGTTGGGTATTTGCTGACGGGAGACAACAACCCGCGTATGGCAGACAGGGTGTGTATGTGTGTGAGCTTCACAAGAAGACCCATGTCATCGACATGGCCACACGTGCACAGCCGCTCGCAGACAGAAGCATCGACAACCACACAAGCATCCGCACACAACAAGCACCCACAAACACCCACAAACGTAGAAACACAGCATATGAACACATGCATGGACATGCGCAAACAAAGAACAACGGCGCACCTGAATCAGGGCGATGAAGAGGAAGAACAGGTTTGCATGGCGGCTAAACTGCTCGTAAAGAAACTTTGGAAAGAACGTGGCCAGGTTGTACTTGGCCGTGCTGTGTGTGTGTGTGTGTGTGTGTGTGTGTGTGTGTGTGTGTGTGTGTGTGTGTGTGTGTGTGTGTGTGTGTGTGGTGTGTGTGTGTGTGTGTGTGTGTGTGTGTGTGTGCGTGTGTGTGTGTGTGTGTGTGTGTGTGTGTGTGTGTGTGGTGATGCGATGCAAGCGCCACGTGGGCGAGGATGTGAGCTGCCGTGCAAAGCAATGGCCAGGTGCGACGTAAGACAGCGGGCAAAATGTCAGCAGGCCCTTAAGCTGCCACAACAAAAGCGGACACACACAACACGACACACACGCGCGCGCGCCTGCAAACGTGCATATGTTGTTCACATCACCTGATGCGGTTTGAGCAGAAGTTGTGGTGTTCATTTGCACCATGCTCCTTGACCACGAACGCGCGTTGGGCTTCTTCCCCATTCAAATCAAACTCGGTGCTCGAACCTGACACTGCTTACAACACACGTGCGAATGATGGTTGTTGTTGTTTATGTTGTTTATGTTGTTGTTGTTGTTGTTGTTGTTGTTGTTGTTGTTGTTGTTGTTGTTGTTGTTGTTGTTGTTGTTGTTGTTGTTGTTGTTGTTGTTGTTGTTGTTGTTGAGGAGGAGGAGGAGGAGGAGGAGGAGTGGGTGCAAGACAGGGTTGTTTAGCTGTCGAGACATGGAGTGTCAACATGACACACACACACATGCCATGTCACACACACACAACACGCACACACCTGAGATTGGGTTGTGGGGTGCATCCACAATGTCGTCTTCCAACTCCATGACTGTGGTGCAAACCGAGAGGGCAAAGGGCGCAGTCGAAATGACACCAGCAGTCGCAACGGTAGTGTCACGGCAGCAGTGGCAGCTGACACGGTGTGTGTTGCTGCGAATTCCCAAGCAAGCAAGCACGCGCAAGGAAGGACCGCTTCCCTTTGCTGTCACGTCAACAGGAAGAAGAGGAGGAGGGGTTGGTGGGAGTTCAGGTGGGCGATGTGGGACAACAAATGGCTGGTGAGCGTGTGCCGGGTTCGATGTGTTTGATGTGCTGCGTTGGAAAGCAGACCACCACCAGCATCGCAGCTGATGAAGCAAGCCGCAAACACAAACAACACAAACACTCCACTTTCCCACCACCAACCCACCAGCCACTGCTTTCTCCTCAAATCCGCGAAATCGCCGATGCAGTTTTGGAAGATTTGTGGTTATCTTCCATTAATTTTCATGTCCGCTCATCGCGCCCACACAACAACACAACGACGGAGATGGGCAGCAAAGGCGATGGCGGTGGTGGGGATGAAGACGAACTGAAACACCTATTCGAGGGCCTGTACATATTCCACGTGCCACCCACAGGTGTGGTGTGTATGCGCGTGTGTATGTGTGTGTGTGTGTGTGTGTGTGTGTGTGTGTGTGTGCGTGTTGTTTGACTTGTATGTGCGAGTTGTTTGACTTGTATGTGCGTTGTGTGGCTGAGCACGGAAAGCAGATCTCTTGTGTGTTCTTGTGAGGTTGTGTGTATGATTTGAGATTGATGTGCCATTCGGGGATGACGTGACCGCTTTTGGGTGTGTGCTTGTTCCAGGCGCTGTCAACCCGCGGTTACACGCGGCATACCCGCCGCTGGATGAGCATTCTGTGGTGGGTGTTGCGAGGGGGCTGACTGATTAAGCTGCTGGGATTGGGCTTGTGTATGATCTCTCATGCGTTGTGTTTCTGAATGCTTCTTGTTGAGTGGTGGTGGTGGTGGTGGTGGTGGTGGTGGTGGTGTGTGTGTGTGTGTGTGTGTGTGTGTGTGTGTGTGTGTGTGTGTGTGTGTGCGATCTCTTGGTTACTGTTGTGTACCTCTTACACATTCACACATGCACATTGCCGCTCAATGTGCCCGTAGGTCCCCGAGGATAAGCTGGCACTGTTTTGTTTCCCTTACGACACATCCCACGCCGTTGGACTTCAGCGCCAGTTCTTCACGTTTGGGCTGACAACTGCTAGCAGCGCTCTTTTCTATGGATACTGTTTGCAAGTGAGTTACTGCTTCGCGTTTTGGAGTGCACGTGCAGTGAGATGCGGTGTGTGTGTGTGTCTGTGTGTGTCTGTGTGTGTGTCTGTGTCTGTGTGTGTGTGTGTGTGTGTGTGTCCTCTTCTGCTTTTTGTTTGGCTGTTCAAGTTGGCATTCACGCTGTGCGGATTTACGTGCTGCAGGAGCAACCTGCAACCCCAGCGTCAACTGCCGTCTTATTCTGTCTAGTATCGCGCCTGCCCTGGCACGTCTTCTTCCGCGTGAGTGTGTGTTTGTGTTTGTGTGCATGTATTTGTGTTGTGTACGTGTGTTTGTGTTTGTGTGTATTTGTGTTGTGCACGTGTGTTTGTGCATCTGCCAGATTGCTGCTTGGTGTATTGCATGCCCGCGTAGACCAGCACGTTTGCCACGGCCGTGCTCAAATCTCTTCTCCCACGCCCCACGCACACACACACACACATACATGGCATGTACGCAGCGACTGTTGGGTGTTGTTGCCGACTCGTATGATGTGGAGAAAGGGTTTGGCAGCTCGACCTTCCTCGATGCTCTCCGGACGGCCCCCGGCGTCTCCCTCTCGGCCCCACTCGGTACAGACTGTGACCTAACGCGCAGTGTGCATGTGTGTGTATGTGTGTGTGTGTGTGTTGTTCAGCGTGCAAGATGCGCAGTGTTTGTCTCTTTGGGTGCACCTCCCTCACCACATGTACGCACGCAATGTGCGTTCTGCTGTCATGTGCTGACTTGTATTGTTAGCCCAAGCCATCACCATCTCTCCGCCATCACAGAAGGTGAGGCACGCCGCTGTGCATGTCGCTCATGTCATGGTTGATGCACACGCTCCTGGGACGCGCAAGAATAGCCAAACTACACACACATGCGCAGCCAGTCACTCACACGTATCCACACGTATCCACACGCATTCACACGCATCCACACGCATCCATACGCATCCATACGCGTTCATGTGCACCTCATCCCCCACCCCCTTACCCCCTACCTGCACACCCGATACGCAGATGGTGCTGCTGCACACGCCAGACTGCCGGCGTCCGCTCGTGCATTCCGCACTGCCGCTCGTTGACACGCTGGTGAACCGCTTGTCGGCGCCAAACCTCATGCAGGTCTTCGCATCCCTCCTCACAGAACGCAGGATCATCGTACGTGCAATGGGGGGGGGGGTGACGATCGTGTTGATCGAGTGATGGATGGTCGTGGGTGGTGGCGGTGGTAATAAGCGATGAGTGGTCGTGGGTGGTGATGTGGCGTTGAATGCGCTGATGTGCATCTGCATAGCATGAGGAGACACGAACGGTCTGATTATTCCCTCGTATTGTCGCAATGTGCACTGTGCACGCCTTGCCATTACTTGTCGCCGCAAACCGGCTCCCTCACACACACACACACACACACACACACACACACACACACACACACACACACACACACACACACACACACACACACACACACACACACACACACACACACACGATGGCTGTCTGCAGTGCGACGCTGCCTTTCCTGATTGGGGTGCACTCGTCGCTGATGGACGTGGTGTCCGCACTTCCGCTTGAAGCGCACGTGCACGTGAATCTCGACACGAATGAGGTGTTTTCGCCCTTCAACGACGCAGATGTGCTTCCGTCGCAATATGTACGTCCACGCAGTTGGAGGAGGACGAGGAGTGCATGGTGATATGCAGAATTGGGGTTGAAGAATTGGATCTTCTCATCATTGTGTGTGTGTGTGTGTGTGTGTGTGTGTGTGTGTAACTTCAGGTGGCAGACGCCTCAACGATCATCAAAAACATTCGAAGTGAGTGGAACTGTGCGTGTGTTGATTGCATCGCGCCGACATTTCAACACCTATTGCACATGCACGTGTGATCTCGT